TGTATTTTATGTAGGAAAATTGTTCTCTTGTTTTCGAAATAATTAAATCCGTCTATACTATTAATGGTTCTTTTTAATAAAATATATTTTCGATCATCATCCCCTGCCTATAACTTTTGTTCAGCTACAAGTTCATAATTTTATACATAAATAGTCAAAAAGACTTACCGTAACCAACTGATTTATCTGATTATTTGAGAAACCATTTTCAAGCAAGCGATCCAAGAAAGATTGTGCTTGCTCTGACGACCATGTTGAAGAATTGATCAAAGCTCTTCTTTCCTCTACGATATCGTCCAATAAGCAAATGTCTTTTTATATTGTTTCATGGTTCCTTTTCTTATTCCTTGAAGATCAAATCTCTCCAATATTGGGAAGAAAGAACCCAAGTCTTTTATAATCCCTCCATACTCGATTATTTTATGTAGCAACTCTTTTAACCCATCACGACTACCACATTCATCTTTCAAATCAAGGAAATCTCTTGCAAAGATAATGGAACTCAAAGTGTTGAACAATGTAGTAAAAACTACATCCTCCACGTTAATCGCTTGTCCTTGCTTTCCGTGCAAGAAATCCAACAACCGGCCTAATTTTTCATCCCGTAATCTAGACTAGGATTCTAATGCTTTCGCTGAGAACATCTCGGTTCGGCAAGGGGTTCTTAAGTTTTTCCAGGTGTGATTGCACTCTGACCAAATGAGGGAGTGAGGTATTACGGATGCCTGTTGAAATGCAATAGGGACAACACGTAAGGAAAGAAAACGATCTTGAGTTTTAAGAATTTCCATGGCTGCATCCGGTGAAGAGGCAACCACAAGAAGTTGCTTGCCTAAGCAGAGAGATATAAGAGGGCCGTATTGATTAGTAAATTTGGCAGTAGAGACGTGAGGTCTATCCCCTGCCTGATGTAGGTTTCCGATGATTGACAACCTTGGGTGATAACCAGAATCCGGTTATCACATATAAAAATTGTTAGCCGCAACACGCAAGTATTGTATGCTTAATGTTTAGTACTATCGTAGGTGTATGTATTGTATGCTTAATGTTTAGTACTATCGTAGGTGTAACAATTATTTTCAAGATTTTTTAAATAAATACATGTACATATAATCATCTAAATAATTAGATGTGCAATCACAATAAAAGAAGTGATATAACTAAAATTAAAGTACAGTTACGAAATAAAATAAGAGTATTTTATTAATTGTTGAATGAAATATAATATCCTCTAATCTTGAGGAATCATACAATGCAAGGTGTATAAACAATATCATTCGTTATATTTATAGGCTTACCGATTGTTGTAAGCAATAACTAATCATAGTTCGCCAAAGACAGAACAACTAAAATTTAAATTGGATTACGATTAAATTTATGATAAGAAACATGATTACGACTAAATTTAGGATAAGAAACATACTTAAAACTATAAGGCAATCAAAATCATGATACAAACATATATAACATTCTAATACCATCAAAGTTACAAAACAAACTTGCATAAAATCATTACTTTAGATCATAATCATAAATTCCCACAACCCAAACTTGAAAACTTCAAATTTTCAAGACTTAATACATAAAAGTAAGAACTCGAGAACCTGCAAACCAACAAATGCTCAACATAAGTAAAAATAACATAGTGAACTTGAATACTTCAAATCTTCACCTAATACATAAGAGTTATAATGCAAACAAAATCACGATACAAACATAAATAAAATTATAATGCAATTAAAATCATGAAATAAATCAATATAAAATTATTACTTTATATTGCAACCAAAAAAAATCAAATATTGAACTTGAAGACTTCTTCAAATCTTCATGACATCATGCATAACTGAGGATAGAGAGAGTTTCAACTCGACCTTCTACTAAGAGTGTTGCACAAATTCCCTTTCTTATCACTTTTAGTTTAAGCCTTTCTTTACTATGTAACCAAGTCCTCCTATGAACCTATCCCCGCCTAAAGGATATGATAGATTACATACATGAAAGTATGGGAGAAGTGAAAAAACGAAAAAAAAAACAATGAAGATTATCAATAGTAAAATAGAAGAAAAACCAAAAAGAAACTAAATAAATTTAGAGATGTATATGATTAGATAGAATTTGATGTATAGGTCACCTCAAACACTCATGGTTTATTCTATAATATATATATTAATTGGAAAAGATGAATGGTTTGGAGTTGAATGCAAATATTTAACAAAAAACATAAATTGACAAAAAAAATTATGAATACTTGTAACTAGATGGTATAATTTCATCTTTCGGGTTCAATTTTGTGTCTCGGTTTCCCTTCTTTGGTTCTCCCGAAGATATTTTAGTAAATATTATTAGGAGCTATCAATCCAAAACAGAAAGATGTATATAAACTGAAAGAATTTTGTAGGATAAACGAATGATTCTTATTCAAAAACGTAAACTTGTAATACAAATCTATGTAATTAACATAATGTAACATCTACAAAGATAGAATCGAAGAAAACATACTTGATATTGCAGATTCTTCGTGATATTGATCCCGATTGAGGCCTGCACAATCGCAGTGGCCTAAGACAAAAATTCGCCGGTGGAATCGGCGTTCGTCTAGAGGATACAACAATCGAATTTCAGTTCGCACTTGAATCTAGCGAATTAATCTAGGTTTGGTGATGGATTTTTGTACGAAAAATAGGAGAGAAACAAGTGCGCTTTTTCGTTCTGTTATGTATCTAGCGAGAAAAAAAAATGTATATGAAGAGAAAGGAAAATTTGTCGTTCGGGTCGGGCTATGTCAGATCGAGAGACCCCAAGAGCCCCAAGGCCCATGTTTTGACCTTAAAGATGTATATGTATATCAAGGAGAGCCTACCATGAAGCACCACGCACCAATATAATTAGTTTAACTAATTACAACCTAATATGACCCATTATTGCATATTACAAGCCAATATGTCTTGTTATAAAAAAATACAAGTTCACTACCCGGCAAGATCCATTATAAGACATAACAACTCAATATTACCGATTATGATCAATAAAAAAATTCTTAATGAAGATATTGCATAACATACAAAGACTATTTAGTTGAATTAAAAAGGAGGGCGGGTATCAACTTAAGTATAAATTTAAGAGGAAGTCTAAAATTTTTAAGGGTTCGATAATTTTTAAGGGTTCGATTGACTATTGATTTGTTTTTGGTTTATTTTTGCTAATTCTTGGTAAAAATAACAGATTTTATTGAATGAGAAATATTGAAAGTAGGATTGATTTGTTTCATCCGTGGATTATTTTGTTGGTTTTTGTGTTAGCCTACATCATACTGTGACTTATGCTCATACACTTGTTCGTTAGAGGTGTAGTTTCCAGAATTATTGTTCCTTTTTTGTTTCAATGCCCTCAAGTTTGTACCTTTTGTAGTCCATGAGACTATCTTGATTTGTGGAACAAAAACAACTTTTATGCTCAGATAGCATTTTGCCAATGATCTTACATGTCTTTAACACTTGTTTTGTTTGTTTTCTGATAGTTCTGACAACATGCGTGGTAGAACCTGRTCCTTTTAATTTTAGCCTTGTTCACAACAATTTCATGAGCTTGTCTCACCTATAGAACGGGGAATTGGATTAATCTAATGCCATGAGCCTGAGGAGTTTAGTTAAGCTAAGAATTTTTAAAAATGAATGAATTGGGCTTGTTTAAATTCATTCGACATCAAGTTGTCAATTCGACATTCCATTACCTTTGCTTGGTCAGTATTGAGTTTCAAAGTTGTTAATTTTACATCCTATGGTCGACTTTGGATCAAGTTCTACATGTCTTTGAACTATGATGGCTCATAGATCTTATATGGTTACTTTTTATATAGTTACTAAGCTAGATAAGTATATTTTTTCTTGTAAATTTATTTTCAACTAATCATAGRGATGAGGCTCTTTTTTGTTATTATGTTCTTTTAACAATGACATTTTCTTTTAGTCTTATAAACTCACCGGCATTGGAATCGAGAGGGATATATATATATATATATATA